ACTGGGGCAGGATCAAAGAGCTCAGTCATCCAAGGCTGCTGCTCAACCCAGACTTTAGTCAACCAACCACACACTCTAATCTCTTGCAGAGGTCTCCATAGAAAAGCATCAACCAAACTGAGGCTAATGAGCATCTACCAAACAACAAGAACAAACAGAAAGGGTAATGCAGGAAATACAATTGAGTCAAACTGCTCTGCAATTCTGTCTATTAACCTCTTATCCTGCCGCAGACCTACTGCTAGCTGTCAAAGAGACTCAATATACTGCTGAATTGAAGCGATGTATAAAATGCTGAACAGGATAATTCAATTGATTTAAAGTGCAGCCGTAAAACAATGGCACATTTATTATTTTACTTCATGCAATTTGAAATATTGTAGCTTCAAGCACGGGAAAGGAACAAAATGATAAAGGTATTACATAAAGTGACTTTATTCCTGCACCTTAAAGCCTTCAACTGCGACATATAGTATAAGTTGAGAGTATTATTTAAGAGGGATATGTTTGTGTTTTAAAACATTTACATGAATACATTTGCGAAATAAATGAAGTTGATATTTCATTATTCCAACCTTTTTTAGGATATATTCCATTTGTAATTGAGATGCAATTTTCTATAAGGTCAAATTGTTGTATTCCATTCACACCAATATTTGAAACAGAATAATTTAGAAGCTCAATCAATTACTTACAATTTCAGCGCGTATTAAGTAGGCAGATTTGCTTGCGTAAGCCAAGTGAATCTATGCAGATCTTATGCAACTTTGGTGCAACTTGACATGCAAATTACTCGTGTTTACCAAAAGCAAACTGTCTTGACGGTGCTGACCTTTGAGGTAATGGGGAGTTGGAGAATCCAAAACAAAACTATCTATCCTAGCTCTTTTGGCTGTTTTGCACCATCCACTTTACACAACCCTCCTCTAAACTCCTCAACAATACAGTCATTGCTTGGAGACAATTAGGAGTAATGAAAGAGGATTACATTTTAGAAATATGTATTTTGAAAAAAGACTATATTCAGATTGACAAGAAGGCACGCTAATGTAGTTTGCCCTTAGCCCTGTAAGTAGTTCCTGCACAAATATCACAAATTCCCCTTTCTTGTTTGATTTAATGTCTACAAAGATTTTAAATATGTAATACAAAACCAACATTTTAAGAAATAAAAAAAAATATAAATATGACATGCTTCAGTTTCCCGAAATTACTCCGTACAGTTGCTTCAATCTCAAATCCCTTGACTGTGCACCCTTTATCATTGTTCACCCTCTGCCATTAATCTGCCTCTTTTACACATCCACTGTCTCCCTCTCTTCATCTCTGTCTCCATCTCTCAGGCTTCTCTTCTCACACATAAATATAGTCAATATTTATCTCATTTATTTTCTTTAAACAGGGTTATCTAAGGGCACCCACTGAGCCATGGCAAAGAAGACCAATGCTATCAGAGACTTAAAACAAAGCAGTGGGAGGTGGTAACCACACTGAGCCAAAGGAGTGCACAATTTAAACAACAAAAAGCCGGCTTAGTTTCTTTATCCATACTGTGCATCAATGGGACTGGAATATGATCAGACTCCAGGTCTCTCTGGGAGAGTATAAGGCACATTGAGAGATGGTGGAGAAATATTTCTCCAGCCAGATGATTGGACATTCAGAATTACCCAAACCTAAATTCCAGTGTGCAACAGTCATTCATTGCTTCAGGATTGCTCAATAATGCATCAAAAACTCAAAGGCCTCCAGGGGAAGCAGTCAGTAATCAAAAAGTAAGTTAAGGTTTTCATAATAGGGCCCTATAAATAACTGGGGACAGAAATGAGGGCATGTAAAATTGATGAGGGATGATTCAAACCCCATGAGGTGGAGGGAGCTTAACGCAAGGAGAATGAATGTGATGTTGAGAGGCCTGACAATATGGGCATGAGTAGAAGATGGAATTGCGTAAGTGATTTGTGTCACCAGTGCCACTATATAACTGCACAGATATATCGACGTTGTTCTAGAGGGGTCGACTTTGAAACGGTGCTCTCAACGTAGGAATAGGCAGATACCAGTTTTTACTGCTCAATTCAAACAAACTGGCAATGATTGCATAACCTAAAGCTACTGATTAAAGGATTTTCTGAAACACTGTTGAACCTTTTTTATGTGATAGTTATTAGTTTTCATAATTCCTGTGTACACAAAATGGTCTTAAAGAAGTTTATTAAGATTTTTTATTTTAATAAAAACAAATGTATTTTTAAGACATAAATGTTTAACTGTGTTTCTATTTCATGTATTTTTGTATTGTGCTGCCAGCAGTGAACTTCTGTATGATAACAAAAACAACAGTACAATTTCTTGCCTTCATTCCGGCTTCAAGTCAGAGAGAAAACATACTGAAACCAGTCATTTACAACTTGAAGGGTTTGGGTTTAAATGAGCACCGTACTCCCACACATTTCTTTGAGGGAATGTAAAATATGGTGTGCTGGAACCTCTTTGCTTTTTCTGCAGAATTCTAAATTCCCTAGTGCTAACATCACTCTGCAGTGAAAACGTATTTAAAAAATGTTTTAAACCCATGTGTAATGATGCCTTGCAAAACATAATCTTTAAAGTAGATTATTATCTCGACTCTAAAAAGACTCAATCCTGTCATATTTTGTTGTGTGGTGAAATGAAGATTTCATTAGGATTGCTCGAATAAAATAAAATGTGGTTAAGTGGTTGTCATAGTGTCATTAGTAGACGGCCAACAGTAAAAAGTAAATAAATAAACAATACAAAGTAACAATAATAGGTCACAGAATAATACATTAAACTTACTTATAAGAAAGCGCTGTTCAAGTTTGGCCCTGATCCCAATCTAAGTCCATTGACATTTATCTGTTTTGAAAGCCAATTTAATATATATGTGACACATTGCATTTACAGTTGTAACCTATTTAATCTGACATGGCTTATTTTTTCATGAGCTTCTTGATAAAAATGCTAAAAAGGGACCGGCTCTAAAATATTAAGCTAAGAAAGCTTAAATGAATGATATAATGTGAATTAAAGTTTAATTGCAGAATGTGACTGAATTTGTTGTGACATGATCAGCTACAGAAAAAACAGCGAGTGAGTTGGAGCGGTGGGAACTACAGACACTAGTAGTGTTACAGAGTGAAGCTTCTTCCCACAAAAAGCAATCTTTGGACCAGTACGGAAAACGGCTACACAGATCACTTTAACCAAACAACAGACAGGTTTGAATTTCAATCATGTTACGTAGGGTATTAATTGGTGACAGCTCACATGACCTGCCACTGATGAAAGCATTAGGTTTCTACCCTAATATTTTCTCACGAGTAAAGGGAGGAGACATTTTATATCCAATTTCAAACCTAAGTTTCCCTTTTCATTGCATTAGCAGGAAGTTATGAATATGATTTTAGCCAAAACAGTCTGTTAAAGTATGCCTACCTTAGGACTTACTTGGTACATCTCTAACCTTGCATGCACAACAAACCAAAGTCTGATCCTGTCCATCCACATTACGTTTTGTTTGTTTTAACATAAATGTGTGAGCTGATTCTGCCACATGTGGTTCAGAGTTTAATGTATAAATGATGACATCACATTGTCATAAAAATGGATGACAACGTTTATAATTCAAATGCATGGGTCGACATTTATATTTGGATAAGACATACTGTACTTTTTTAAGAATATTTCCATTAAAAACTCAAATCTTTTATCAGCCACTCAACCTATGTTCATTTGTTTTACTGACTAATATTGGAATTGAGATAACCCTACTCTACTGTATTCCAGGGACGTGCAGGTATTGTCCGCAGTTGACTGCCAACCTGACAGATGGATCATTTACCACCCAGCACTTACAACCTGAAAGAAAAATTATTTTGATGCTTTTTGGCCAGGCAAAATGTCCATCTCTCTTATTCCAGCCATATCCTTTCTGGTCCAGGTAGTCAGATCTTTTGGTTTACTTGTAACACACTTGATATCTCATAAAGGGAAAAATGAGTGGATTTAGACATGCGGTTTGCCAAGCACCAAAGAAAGATGTCCTTATTCATCATTCATTGTTATCTCTTTTTCCTTATTAAAGGGCCTGCATTCCCATTCCCACCATCTGCACATAGATATTTTTTTCACAGAATCACAGATGACTGAGGGGCAGAAAAAGGCTCATTGAATCTTCTGTTAAAGCGTGTCACAGCTGGTCTTTATTTAAACTTCATGTATGAAATATTTACCTTCAAGTGTTTTGTTGGTAACATCAATTGATGCAAATGAACCAACTGACTCATTATCAGGAGAGCGAGCCCTAGGCAAGAATATGAACAGATTGACTGAAATATAAGGGGATTGAAGAAACTGTAGAACCTTGATCTAAGCACTTTGAATTGTCGCGTACAGAAAAGAGTTATATAAATAAACTTGCCTTGCCTTGCCTTGCCTAATGCTGTGCAACATGACTTAAGGCTTACATACAGGTTTGCATTCAAGCATACAGAACGCAAAAAACATTAATTGCCCACAAAGCCACATTAGCAGGACTCTTGTTCTGTCGGTATGAGAGCTAATTCACAGTGGCCCTTTGGGGACGCCAAGTACAACGGACAAATATACTGAGCAATGCTCCCATCAGTCACTCAAGAAAAGCATCAATTATATGTCTGTGAGGTTTTAATAAAAGAAAAATATAGATAGCTAGTTAGACAGATCTATAGGATTTAAGAAAATAGCTGGTATGACAAGAGAAAGAAAACTATTCCCAAAATGTATCGAAAAAGTTAAGAAGAAGAGGGCTAAAATCTATTATAAAAAGGAATGCTCTGCTGTATCTTTACTTGTTGTTTCAAGTTATTTTTAAATATATAAAAGCTAATCAGATATAACAAGATTGATAGCGCTTGTCTTGAATACATTTATTTAAAGTAACAGTGCCTGGGACAAAAATGTAATTCTTACATGTCGAAGAGATACATTTCACTCACCATCAAACTTTTTATGCCTGGAGACAAACGTCGTCCTCATGTTGTGGCTGCTGTTCTTGACCAAGTTCTCAAACTCCAGTTTGCTCTGCTGGTGGAGTTTGTCCTCCATCTCAGATGTGCAGCAGGTGTATCCCTGAGGACAGACACGCAGGTGCTCACCTGAGGGAGACAGAGACATGGAGGGCTTTCTTTTAACACACACATCACTGCCACAGGATTTGCTTTTTCAAAGGCTGAGCTGAGTCTTTGATCACAACTTTCCAGTGATTTTGGGACTCTCATCACTGAAGCTATCAAAGAGGGACAGACCGCAGCAAATGATAAAGAAGAACATTTGTCGGTACGCTGCTATCATGTGATACAGAAAGAAACATGGGGGGGAGGGGGGTAAGCACAGCAGATTGTAGACACATTAGGTGCATTCACACCGCAGTACTTTTCCCACAAAGGTTCATGAGAACTTAGTTCATGAGAACTCTTTAGTTCTCATGAACTAAGTACAGATCGCGTTCACACCGGAATAAATCCCTGGGGGTGGATTAGGCAAATGAAGCCGCTGACGTCACTTATTTTTCTTCTGCTTTGGATTTACTGGCAGGCCGCAAACCACTTCACGGCGTATACTGCCGCCCAAAGTCCCCGGCCGGAAGTCCCCGGAGTTGGGGACTGGCTTCAGTAGAAGCTGCTGGGACTCCCAGCAGCTTCTACTGAAGCCTTCCGAGTAAATCGCCAGAACGCCGACACCTCCTCATCTCCACCGCTCCCATGTTTTATTTTGTGTTGCCATAAGTTAGTCTCTCTAAGTTTCTGCGCTGGGCTAATGCTAATGCTAATAATGCTAATGCAAGGATAATAAAATGGCGGCTTCACAAAACTTTTTGGGAGTTTTACGGGGCGTGGTTTGCAATCCGCCCAGCCAATCAGAAATATAGCTCTTTTCTCACAAGAGAGCCGCACGAAAGTCCCTGCTAGAGAGCAGGGACTTTCGTGGGAGAAAAAGGTTCCTATGTCTGATTGGCTGGGCGGATTGCAAACCACGCCCCGAGAGGAAAAACAGACAGGAGGGATGTTGGAGGAGATGGAGAGAACAACGAGGACTTTCTACGTAGAGGGGAGCCAACGGCAACCGGACAAATACATGAGGGAGGCCCGATACGTCACTCATCTGGAGGAGAGGACCAGGCGCGTGTCGAGCAGAGTGGAGAAGTGCGATCACAGAGCCTGCCGAGGCTATAAATGACTTTGATTTGTTGTTTAAATAGGGGCCTACAAAACCTATCAGCCCCAGGGCCTGATGGCAGGTTAAGGCGGGCTTGCTCACCTAGCTTGCTTTCAAATGTAGTTTCCAATACAAAAGTATTTCAACACATCATCGTATGCAAAGCCAGGTACCAATACGGGTGAGTCACACTTGATGTGATTTATTTGACACTATTATGTTTTGCATACTCTCTTAAACTCTCTCATGTTTGTACATTATGAGCTTTTAATGTTTCAATATAAAATGTAAAAAGAAACATTGTGACATGCTTCTGGTGAACTAGTGTGCGTGTTCCGAAAAAGGACTCATCAGAGATGAATTGCATTGAGAGTTTCACAATCCTATTTAAGTCTTTTAAAAAGCCTACAAGTTGAGTGGTTTCTCCAAGGATAATTACAACTATTGAACTTATACACCTATTAGACCAAATAAAGAGTGAACGGTATATATAGAGTAAACAAATAACTAAGGGTCTGAATCAGAACCAGAATGTAAAGTAGTCATTATATAGAAAGATAGAAAATGTAAAACAGTATTTATTTGGCTTCAACTTTGCTTTTTCAAAGGCAGTAATCAGTAATGACCTCACACATCTGACAAGCCTCTCATTAAAAATAAACAGTTAGCCTCACATATGTGGAGTGTTCTCTTCGTGTAAAAAGGGGATGAATTACAAAGATTGATGATTAAATTATAATATCAGCCGTAATGCCCAACACTATCAGACACACACCATGCTTTACCGTTCATGCATCAAACACAATCTTTACCTCAAAGTGAAGCAGCACCAGGCAGGTGTACTTTTTACTATCAGAGAGAGACATTTAAGAATAGAGAGAATGATTATTTGAGCCAGATAAAGCAGATTTTGGTAGCAACATTGTGTGGGTGCTGGCAAACCTATGCTTGAGAAAATGTACAGTACACACACCAGGATGGGTTTAGGACAAGAGTTAATAGTTCAATAAGTGACATAACATGAAGACTTAAAACAAACCGAAAATCTGGGGAGAGCAGAAACCTTTGCTGAGGCTCTTCACAGACAATACCAGCAAAACTCACAAAGCTATCTGCAAGGATGAATGTGATAAATAATTTAAATATAAATATGCCAAGCTTATACATACACTTTAAAAACAATCAAATCACTGCCTAAGCTGTGTTGATACTCAAAATAGTTTTATTTTCCTGTACTTTCACTACGTTGGGTTTAAAGGGTCTTGAGGGCTCCGTCAATGACTATTCGTCAGAAGATGAGACAGTTAAAAAACGTTTAAAAAATAAACAAACAATGGATGTGATTGAGGTTACTGTATAAACAATAAAACTAAGCTGGTCATAATGCATATTATGTTTTAACCGTTTGCATTCCTGGGCAGCAAAATGCTAAAGTTATTTGGAAAGGCAGCAGTTTTACAAATCCTTGGGAAAGAAAATCACCCAGTTTGCGACTCCTTACTGAATCGTACAAATAGAGCAATTTGACTGCCATATACTCTCTGTATTATCTCTCCTCTGCTGCTCTATGTCTGAGAGGATACGATGTCATTATCAGAGGTAAAGAATGGAAGAAAAAAACAGGTCTGGACAGCAGTTGCATGACACGATTGAGTCGTTCTCTTTCTATCTCTCAACTTCTGAGAAAAAGACGAAGTGGTTGTCGCTGCACCGGGGGTGGATGGGTGCAGAATAGACTCAGAATGTGAGACTTTTTTTGTATGGATCCTACTATACAATGCAGGCACTGACATTCCCACTGGTGTTCTGCATGCATATACAGTAAGGTATAGATGAAGGAGCTGTGCTTGGCTAATGAAACAAGGAGGATGCAGTGGACGTGTTGGTACTCTCAAATGTGCTTAATCCTTAATCAGTCCTTAGAGAGGAGCCAGGCCACAGTAATGAGGTGCACCATCAACAGCTCAACACCAACCCATTGTCTCCAGAGTATGCACAAGCCTTCTGGCCACCGAGAACAAAGCTCTCTATAAAAACATAATAAGATGAAATGCACAAGTTGATTTCCATTTTTTTCATTCTTTAAAACTCTTTTGTTCCTCCACTTAACAACAATGTTGAAATCTTTTAGCAATGCACTTAGCAATGCATTCCTCAACTGTCACACATTGTTTCCACTCCGCGGAGACGCAACACTGTGATGATCTTTATTCCAAGCTGTGATCAGTTTAACACATGCCTGCAGAGAAAACCACATTGTGCAGTGTACACAGCTTATGGTAAGTGTTGTATAGGGGTATTATTAAAAAAAATTCATGAGGAAGATGATTTTATAAATCTCTGTTTATCTTCTCAGGCGATGATCCTGTTACTGTTTCACTGTTTAACAATAATGAATGAATGTATTTCATAATATAGCACATTCTAAAACACAGTGAATTCACAAGACGCTTCACATGAAGGGGAAACGATCATAGGTTTACTTAATATAAATAATGTCAAGCCAAATAATAGGATAAATAAGATTAGTGACCAAATACTAAGAGACCCGAATGTAAATGGAAACACACATGACCCTAGGGGAAGGCTTGACTTGGGGTCAGTTTCAAGGCACGCTTCAATTAGTTGACAAATGCCAAAGTAAACAGCTAATTTCAGCAGTGTTGACCGTGTTGCCCAGGATTTAAAATTGCAGTGTTTGAAACAATGACAAAGAAAAAGTTTGGGACAAGAGTGGATGCTTTATTGGCATAATGATGGATAACTTGATATCAATGACATTTACTTGCTGCAATAGGAAGCCCTGCAACTCTGAAGTAAGTCCATTTCAATTTGAAGTTTTGTTGAGACTACAAATTGACTTAACTTGTTGAAGAACGTAGAACCACTGTTGGCCACTAAAGGTTGCAGAAAAAGAAATAGAACAGAAATCAATAAAAAGGCAGAACTGTCCTTCGGTGCAAATGACAGCTGAAAGGAAATCCTGGTGCTTTTAGCTTTCATAGCTTGTACACCCCTCTGTTCCACTTCCAGTCTCGTTTTTGTATAAACAAATACTTTGACATATCCAGCTTCAACAGTTTGAAAAAGGTGATGCTGCTGTTACATTAACGAAGATAAAATAGGATGTTGTGTGCAGAAGGCATGGCTGGATTGTGAGCTGCATGTTTATGATGTTGTCACATTATTCCTTCTCCTCTTTGCTCAAATGTTTTTTTCTTGGCTGCTTTCCACAATGCAGATACATAAACGAAGAGCAGAATATAAATAGCAGTAAGGCCTAAATAATACACAACAAAAGTATTCAACAAATAAACTTTCCTGCAGATTTGTCCAGTGTCTTTCCACATTGTGAGCCCTGTGTTCCAAACCAATACAAACACAAACACCTACCTTGGTGAACTTGGGGAACAATCGTCCCCAAATCTAGATGGGATTTTGGCTCACTAGACCATATCTGTCCCGTTCTAGTTGGCTGCTTTGCACCCAAGATGGAATTTGAAACCGAGCTGTCAATACACTGTACGCCTGTGAGATCACGCAGTTCTGCTCAGACTCTCTCAAGCTGTTAAACTTATAAGACTCAATCCATGCCAACGGAAATGGAGACGTACTGTAGGAGTGGACAAAACATCAAGCCAGGGATGTCTGTATGTGTAGGAAGTGGAGTTGCTTTAAAATACACTAACAAAGATTAAGTAAACAAACCAATTGTAAATGCATTTTACAAATGTATGATTTGCCTTCATGAATAAAGATAATTTAAATGAAATAAATCAATATTTAACAGCCAGCTAAACTCAATTACAATCTCTGTCAAAGCAGTATGACACATTGTGATTTTAAATAGAGAAAATGTGTTTTAGAGCCACTAAATACTGTTACTGAACTATAGACATATCCATATGTGAGGAATTTATATACAATGAAGCTCCTTCAA